AAAAGTAGAGGAACAGGAGGGTACTTGCAAAATGGTGTGATAACAAATCCTACACCACTGCATGAAAGACATGGATTCGTAGTTGTCATGTAGTAGCCTGTGTGGATAATTACAATGCTTTTGGGTTATATCCTTCATGCAGTGGTGTAGGATTTGTTATCACACCATTTTGCAAGTACCCTCTTGTTTCTTTACTTTTTTACAATTTAATCCTACTACTTTTCCATTTTTAATGTTTTTAATTTACTTGTGATATAATCAACTCAGCAAGCCACCTTGCATGTTCAGTGATTGGATTTGGATCACGTGACACGTGACAAATACCTAGGACCACGCCTAGTCTATCTCGCTTTAATTTTTGCATACTTGCGCAGTGGAGCTCATCTTTGACCTCGACGACCTGTTGTTGACTTTTTTGTCCGACAATTTATTACAAGTTACAAGATGATTGATGTCTCTCAATGGAGAGCAAATATTGGATTGTGGAACTACTGTCAAGGTACCTCCAGTAAACCAGCTAATGGCCGCCCGGTAGGACATCAAAGCAAGTCAGATAGATCTAGCACTAAAACAAAACAGAAGCCTTCTTTGGTTTTATCATTCATGGTTCTCCTTATTTTTGTCTCTATCCTCTGCTCTGGTTATCTCAAATTTGATTACAAACCTCATCTCAAAGGTATAGATAATGAATCATTAATATTCCTAAGTTTTGGGTCTAGGAGTATCATTTTCACAATCAGTGGACAATGTAGTCCACAAGTAGTCTCACTGCTATATGCATGTAGCAAACTGCTGGTAATTTTAGAGTGACGAATTTGGTGCCTTGATCAAAATAAAACAAACAAAATAAGATCAAACTTCTAAATTTGTCAAATTAAAGCACTGGAAATGTTGCAATTCCCAAAAATTATTATGCCCCCCCCAAAAAATAATTACCAGCTATTTCTATAACTACATTGTATAAATGCTACCATTTTTGTATTGCTCCTATAATGCCTATAACATACATTATACATTAGGCGTTTTTACTCATTGTTACTGGTCTAAAGTACAGTGTACTAATACTGACAGCAGCTACCTACTTCAGTCTATACTTCCTGGGTCTGATGTTAGCAGTTCTGATGTTTTCTATAGTCTAGTGTATTTGATAAACCTACTCCTCTTATCAGGAGATGTTGAACTTAATCCTGGTCCTTTAACAGGTAAAAATACACTCAATACAACATTTGATGTGAAGTGATGCGCTTCGATCAATGTAAACCAGGGATATAATAGATTAACGTAACTGGGATTGGAATTCATGTCAAGTGATGCGCTTCGATCAATGTAAACCAGGGATATAATAGATTAACGTAACTGGGATTGGAATTTATGTGAAGTCATGCGCGCTTCGATCAATGTAATCCTGATGTAAACCAATGGCAACAAGAGGCCTTTTCACGCTGGCACAGTTTTCAAAGCGCTTTGAAATCTTAGTTGATACAGCTGAAATAATGTGCATTGATCTTGTTTACACTAGCAGCTGGATTATGTATCATTTTGTGTTCTTGTTGCCATTAATTGATACACTACTGCAGATAATCCAAAGGATATATTTGAGAGTCATTCATATCAATTAGTTGCATATGCATGTAATTATTAATTTGTGAAAAGAAGCATTAAGTGGTGCAAATATGAATCATGGTATTACTCTTGCCATTTACTTATGACTTAAAAGTTTTGTTAATTATAGTTAATATACATTTATATCCCTTTCTAGTAAAGGGGCTTAATATGGCAGCAGTTTTACAGATATTTGAATCTTCTGCTCATGAATACATGCTAATAGGGGTTGGATTGAAAGTGAAGGTTAGTGACCTGATGCCAACACCAGGAGCAGAACAAAAAAATCTTAATACTGTATTCCAGAGGTGGTTTGATTCTAATAAAAATGTCAGTTGGGAAACATTAATGAATCTTTGTGATGACTTTCCTGATCAACTGGGCAAAGCAAAAGATAACCTACAAGCATATGTAGGTAAGTCAAGAATAAGTTATTTAAAAAGCCTGAAATACATGGAACAGTTAGACATTTTCTGGCCGACCATTTTGCTCTATTGTTCTGTGTTCTGATTATACAAATTTTAATTAATTACTAAATGCAATGTAAAAACCAATTAGTATGTCCGACAATGTATAAAAATGGCAAATCAAATTTAAGAATGTTCAGTCACAATGCAGAACATTGTTGTAATGTAATACTTGTGTTTCATGTTGCAAACGGAGTGTGTACATTGTACATGTACATTAATGATTAATATACCGTATAGCTCCAAATTTTTGTCTGTCAAAAATTTCATAATTTCTTGTTAAAATTAATTTTCATCAGTGAAATTTCATCATTTTTGTTATTAATCTGCGTACTACCCACGTGGAACAAAAATTTTGTGGGTTAAGAATTTTGTCAGGCAAAAATACCTGATGAATTTGACAAAAATTTTGACTGGCTAAAATATGGAGCTACACGTATACGGTAGTCATTACTTTCAATAATTAGGTTAGTCTATACCTGATAATGTCATATCCATTAGTTCAACATCTGATGATGTTTAAAGATATTCTAATGTAGCTTACAACAAGGACCTATTGATTGATTGTTGCATGATGCAATTATTTGTGAAAAGGTGCATTAAGTATATGAATCATGGTATTACTCCTTCCTATTTACTTATGACTTAAAAGTTTTGTTAATAATAGTTAATATACATTTATATCCCTTTCTAGTAAAGAAGCCTACTATGTCAGCAGTTTTACAAATATTTGATTCTTTTGCTAATCATTACCGGCTAATAGGGGTTGGATTGAAAGTGAAGGTTACTGACCTGATGCCAATACCAGGAACAGCACAAAAAAATCTTAATACTGTATTCCAGAGGTGGTTTGATTCTGATAAAAATGTCAGTTGGGAAACATTAATGAATCTTTGTGATGAATTTCCTGATCAACTGGGCAAAGCAAAAGACAACGTACAAGCATATGTAGGTAAGTCAAGAATAAGTTATTTACAAAGCCTGAGATACACATGTACATGTGACAGTTGGACATTTCCGACCATTTTGATTGATTGTTCAATCATATTCTAGCTGTGCGGTTGTTCTGAACAGCATATTTTTATACAAAATATTAATTAATTGCTATAAGCAATTTAAAAGCCAATAATGTCCAACTAATTTATAAAAATGGCAAATAAAATTTTAAAATGTTCAGTCACAATGTCTGAACATTGTTTGAATGTAATATCTGGCTTTGTATCTATTCACCAAGCAGTGTTTTATGTTGCAAATGGAGTGTAATCATTAATGATAATAATTCATTATAATTCAATAAGTAGGTCAGTTTAGACCTGATAATGTCACACCCGTTAGCTCAACATCTAAATATGTTCTAGGATATGCTAATACTTACAGTAAGACTCTTCCTCCTGCTAGTGTTGATAGTTCTAAACAAGAATTGAAGACAATGGCTGGTGAGGTTTTACCATCCACCAGTACATACATTTGTGTATAATTAATGAGATATACATTTCATTTTAATTTATATAGAAGAGATTAAGAAACCTAAAGCTCAAACATCTGACAGAAATGAGCAGATAAAAGAAGCGGCTCAGGAAGATGCTATGACTCATGGTAAGAGAATAAATATTGTATACAGCATGTATAAAATCTGTATACAATGTATATGTACGTAATACATATTCACCGTATCACTGTAGATATTAGGAAACATAAGATGTTTATACAGCATTCACTACAGGACATTGTTAAAGAATGGAAAACACTTGGAGACCTTCTAGGCATAGAAAAACGTGATTTAGATCAAATAGAATGTGAACATGGTGCTGCTAATCTGTGCAGAATCAATATGATTACCCGCTGGTTGCAAAAAGATTCAGCTAATCTTGAGTCATTAATAGAAGCACTTGAAGTATTGGGCCAGAACCGTATTATAGCTACTTTGAAGAAACCAGAAAATTGGCACTAACTGAACAAGATTATACTTTTATTTTATTTTTATTCTTTTATAATTACTATTAGTTGCATGTATGAGTGGGTTATTTTTAGTCTATACCCACTAGTTTGTGTTTAATGATTCATAATTATTGAAGTAGCAAGTAATTAATTTTAACAACCAATCAACCTATGATCAATCAACTCAACATGATTCAAAATTGAGGGGCAGTGCAGGAATACACATTACTATGGTAACAGTGTTTGTAGCCTGATCTATTAAAATTAATGATGAATGATGAGCTTTATTTATTTCAAGGAATGTTTAATTTTCAGAATGTAATTGCTATTGTAAGTCAATTAACACCTACACTTTAGTGCATTAGTTAGTCTGGCGGTGCTAATCCGTAATCAGGCTCCACCTGACGATGCATTAGTTTCATGATGACTTTTAATCAATATATTTGCATACCATAGTATCAACTTTGAGTTCTTGCAAAATTTTGTTCACCCAAAAATGAAAGTAATTTCTTAAAGCTATTACTGGCTACTTTTCTCTTTGACTATTATGCATTAAAGTGCAGTCAGGAAGCCTTCTTATACACTATACAACGTGAGTTGCAATTGGTACATGTGTTGCAAATACCTGTAAAGTAACTTTTATTATGACACATTATAATCATTGCAAGTATTAATAATTATGATTTCGATTCTGTAGCAATTAATAATCTATTAGAGCTATCTACATAGTTAAAAGTACCTTTTTATTAAAGTACTACACTAATTTTATTGCTACTTGCACTAAAATAATGACTATACATTAAACTACATAAAATCGTGCATATAAGATACAATTAATCCTATATAATATTCTAAACTATCACTCTACCTAGCTCTACATTGTTAATGCCATTGTTCATTTCAGCCTCGGTAGGCTATGGCCTTGCAGATCCCATTAATATTGGAGTTCCAGTAGACCTTACATTCACCATTCAACTTCCTCCTGCTATTGTGTAGGTTCCATGTGTGAGAAAGTGATGCAAATTTTTTCTTGCTACCCCACTTTCCCTAAATGATGAGAGATTAAAATGTTATCAAGAAATATGATTGATTATGATAATCCACTATTCTTTCTAAGTCTGGCTACGTAAGGCTATCTATCAGAAGTGGCTTGATAAGAATTCAATACATCTTTTTGATACAGGTGACATAATGTTCAAAGTTGGAGCTGATTCCACACTACCGTAAGTTGTTTACAGTTTGACCAAAAATGACCTAGATTGACCTACATTATGCATTGTTCACATTTTTGTTAGCTCATATTATGGTGGAGTTATGAGAAAAAACCTATGCCTATGTACATGTATTTAAGTAACAAAATCATAGACAAACTATTTTAAAATTTTTGTTCATTTTTAGCTTACAGTGCATTTGGGAACTCCCCAACGCCATTTGCACTTTATGTATTTCTTTTTCCAATAAGCAGCAACAGAAATATTTCCACTTGTAGTGTCATATACTTCAAAGCAAGCACTAGCAGATGATAAGCTCCCACAGACTGAGGTTGAAGCCTCCGGAGTTAATTGATAGCTGATAGATCCTGAGACAGTTAGACCAATTTCGAATAGATTCTACTTTCTGAATATGGAAAAAGGATAAAGAACTATAAGTATTTGTATTTACAGGAAATTGTATAATCCTTGCAACAAAAGTTTTACAATTAATACTTATTTTGTTAAGTTTATTATAGATAATAACTAAGTAGCATACAGTTTGATACCAGACTCACCTACTCCTCCAAAGCCACCAGTGAATCAACTTTGAGCTGATTCTGATTAATGAGAGATGCATACATCAAAGGGAACAATTTGGTAGTGACATTGATGGTTTCTCCTACAGTATTACTAATAAGGACTATTAATAGTAGATAATGTGTCTTGTAGATGTAATTTATAGTAAAAGTTGGTTCATCCTCAAATTGGGGTTGCAGTTACCCCTGTTCTTGTACTCTAATGCTTTTTCTTCTTGTACTCCAATATTTTGTAGCACTATAGTCACTGATAGTCTTTGTGATACTAGCTAAACTTTTCAGATAGTTGATGATCGTTATCAGAAATACATAAATGAAAGGGAACAATTTGGTAGTGTCTGAGTGTCATAATAGATAATAATTATGTGTGCTTTTGGGACTACATTACAATAGCATTTGTCTATATTGAAAGTGAAACCATACATTTGTATAAACATTTACTTTACTATATGTATCAAAGCTTTGAATGGTATGTATTAATAAATACGGTGACCTGTTTTGCTATGCAGCTAGCTAGAAAGTGGCAACCATTCCTTCATATTACTCCTTCAGCAGTCTTGGTTCTACTTTGGAACTGTTTCATGAATTCTAATTACATATTATTGAGTCGATTCACTGGTGGATTAATAGCAACAAAATTTGCTCCTGCTGCTTGGTATAAGTATGGTTTAGTCATTATATTTTTCTTTGGTTTTTTATTCTTTCCTTTATTTGGCCTGTTAGCTGATGTATGCATTGGAAGATACAAAGCTATACTGATTGGTATAGTATTGTGTTTTATATCATGGATTATAATGGGAATTGGATTTATTGTGAACAACTACTACACCTCTGAAGCAGTGCTGATGATTTTTTTCACTTTTGCTTATATTGTATATTATTTTGGTTTTTCCAGTTTTTCTGCTAACATTATTCAGTATAATATTGATCAACTTGTTGGAGCTTCAGCTGATGAACTGAATTCTGTCATATACTGGCATATACTATCCGAACCACTTGTTTTATTCCTCTTTTACCTTCTTCAATGCTTATTTTATAGTAGCAAGTATTTTATCATGATCACTTTCATAGTATCAGGTGTATCTGTATCTCTTGTACTGGTGTCTCATTCATTCCTCAAACACAAACTGGAGAACATATCACTGATCAAGAATCCCATCAAATTGATAGTTAGAGTATTGTGTTATGCCAGGAAGCACAAGTATCCTGAGAATCGTAGTGCTCTGACCTACTGGGAGGAAGAGGCTCCTTCAAGACTAGACCTGGGTAAGGATAAATATGGTGGACCATTCACAGAGGAAGAGGTAGAAGATGTGAAGACAGTATTTCGTATGCTACCATTATTTATTGGTTTCGTTGCATTTAATCTTTGTCATGATGGTTACTGGTCTGCTGTTGAGAGTTTTACATTACTAACTTGCT